ACAGGTTTTACCATGATGCTTGACGAGCTTGCTCCAGCTTCACAAGAGTTCACAGGTTTCACCAGAGTGAGACTTGTAAACCGGAACTAGTGAAGCAGCGAAAGTGCAAAATGCCCCCTCCCCTTGTCGAACTGCGCCCTCTAGAGGATAAGCCTTGTTGGAAATACAAGTTGGTAATGTGGCCGCGCGTGTCTAGGCTACCGTACCTCTTCTCGTGAAGTACTTTGAAAATGCATTCAGGTGAACCTGAGGGCCAGTCCCTTCAAATCTGGCCACCAGTGATTAGGATCAGTTTACGGTTTGCGCTGAGCAGTTGCAGAACCCTCTTTCGCCTTCTCAGTTCTCATCCTTGCGTTAAATTCAACTCCCACGCGTCAATTCCTATCTCACCTCTTTTCCGAGGATGTCTTGACTCTTTGTGCAACTAAAGACTTTTTAGAATTACCATAGTCCAACCAAGGTCAGATGGCTGAAAAACAGCTATATCCATGTTTGCCACACAACCTTTTAACGTCACTGGATACTCTTACGGAGCAACCTGGAATGGAATCAGAAGCCAAAGGCGTTGTGACCTACGGCAGTCACCACTCGACTAGTAAGTTGTTGAACATGTTTGAGGCGCTATTCGGCTTAGGAAGGGCATTTTGCACTTTCGCTACTTTTCATTTTCTTGTTCACTTTAACTGACAGGTAAGCTCCTGTGAAACTAATAAATGGTACAACATAGCCACTTTGGTTGCAGGAGTTTACAGGACTTTACAAGATGGCCTGTACAGGTTTTGATAAGTACCATCCAGTGCCCCACCAAACCGAACTGCGCCCATGTTTTATTTGAGGACCTGTTGTGCACAGAAATTGTGGCTCATGAATGGAAGTTACAGGAGAAGTGGTGGCAAAGAAATCGTTGCCAATAGAGGACGTTCCATCGCGGCTAAAATGTCTGGTGACGGCGAAGAAACGTATTGTCCGCTACCGTACTTACTGTAACTGCACTGAGCCCTGCGAAGCATTGTTAGTTACTGCGAATGAATTCCAAAAGAGTGACTTCGCGAGGGTCGCCTGAGTTATCTTGGTAACTGAATCCAAGCAAAGTTGGAGGAGGAATCGTAGCCCAGTGGGAGAAGACGCGAATGTCACCGAATGCAGCCAGGAACTTACAATTAGAATCTTTGCGGAAACATTCGGAGAAGTCCCAATGCAAAACTGAGGTGTAACGTCATACAAACGGGATCACCTTAGTTTAAAGTGGAGCTGGTTTGATATTTCCTCCACGCTCCCCCCTTAAAGGCCCAAAGTGGTCCCGAATCTCTATTGCGGGAGTTATAGTATAGCCTTCAAAGGCTCTCAAGCTTGTTAGCGCCCGCAGCCTCTTTCCATACCGCACCCAATTTCACCTCAAGTCACCAAAAATCTCAGGAGTAATTGGCACGCCAAGGAGTAATCTTCAGGCCACTTCAGATCTATTCAATACTAATCTATTCAGGAAAGCTTGGATGAACTTTCCAAGATCACAGTGTGAATGCAGTCTGCACGCAATCATTTCAATTATTCCGTAGAGAAACCAATGCACGGCGCAACCCACGGGACACGCTGAGCTTTCAAAATGTTATTCGGGCACCAAAAAGATATCTTGGAAATGACAGAACGCTACTGCTACCGGAACCCAGGGTCCATTAGCCCTTTAGTTTCAAAATCGATCAAGCCGCATAAAGCTAGATAACCGTGTATAGCGGACATCAAGCCTGAGGTGCAGGCAGAGTGTTTCCGAAATGTTTATATATCCCAAAATATTTTAATGAAGATTATTTAAGGTTAGTAGATCGGCAAACAAATACGATATATGGAATGCAACAACCGGTGAGAGGGTGAGTGAGATTTTACCTTGCCCTCTCTACAGTTTTCGGGCGTCTGAAGCAGCGTCAGACTTGGCAATGACGCGCCACGACGCTCGCGCTACGCTGTCGAAACATTGCGCCAATATCCCTTTATAAAAAACGCAGCCAAGATGGTATTAACTGGCAACGGCCGTTACTATTTTTCTTTGGAGAGTATAAAGGAATAGGTGGTATCACACTGCTAAGTGTGGCTCCTCCCGAACGGTTCTTGTTTCATAGGCCATAGAGAGAAGGGAACCTTGGAGTGGTCTCTTAGAACGTATGCATGAAGATGGATGATCGAGGAAAGTCGGCTGAACATCCTAATGGCACTCGACACGATGGGCGCAGCTCGGCGAGGGGGGAGGGGCATTTTGTACCATTATTGCTTCCTTTCCGGTTTACAAGTCTCACTCTGGCGAAACCTGTGAACTCTTGTGAAGCTGGAGCAAGGTCGTCAAGCCATCATGTTAAAACCTGTCAACTCGAGAAGAGGCTGTCTAGATAGGTCGACACGTCGATGGGAAGTAGCAAAAGTGCAAAATGCCCCCCCCCCCCCCGTCGCCGAACTGCGCCGACACGATGTATCCCCAGACGTGAAGACGTGTAGGATTCATATGTCTAACAGGACAGAATTTGGCGCCCTTGAGTGGACTCTGCGTGCGGCCTTTCCCAAGAAAATGTACCCTTGTAGCGTCCTATGATGCTGCAACATGTCAACCCGGACGCCCCCGCCCCGCCCACCCACGAATGTTCGATTGATGCTGATGCTCGTATCGCTTCATTTGCGAAGTACAATATGAAGCGAAGGGATTGATGAAGCGGCTGCGGTGCTGCATGGATATATGAGTACATACATGCAGCCGTATCTACCGTAGCGGTTATTGGCACGATGCCATCAAAAAACTCGTCCGACTTTTCCCAGGCTTTTGACCGCTTCACTTCGCTTTTTCGCCATTTTCCCACTTTATAGCACCCCTGCTACCATTTAAGACCGAGTACCAAATTATCGTGCCTTATGCCTTTGAGGAGCTAGCTCCCGCTAGCTGGTGATGCCGGAGGTTTCCGAAATAAGCTGAGTACCCCATTCAAAGGATCTAGATTCAGAAAAGACGAGTGAAAGTAGCCTATTCTATTCTTGCCCTCCCCGCCTACAAAATATTTTTCCATATGGAGATCGGCTAAATGGACTCAAATGGAAGGAGTTCCTGTTCCCGTTCTTGATCCAAGGTTAACCAGCCAATTAACCATTCAAGCCCACAGAAGGTATTGATAAGCTGGATCTGTAGAACTAGCGAGAACAACAACAGCGGTTACATTGACTTGTACACTGCGAGAAGTTAATTTTCACAATTTCAGGTCTACTATGCATTTGAAGAAGCAAGTCCATGTGAAAAGTGCTGCTGTGGTCGTCATCGAGGCTTCACTGTTCGCGTCAATGATAATTTCGGCAAGGTTCGTTCAAAGGTGGTTTCTGAGCATGAGAGGCTCGTTTCGTAATTGTACAGCAGAATTGAGTTCTGCGTAAGGACGAGCAACCTTCTGCCGTGTTTTTCGAAGTCATTCAGTCAATTTGGGGGATAAAAACACTTTCTGGGCTTCGATTGGTTTATGCACGTCATTCACTGTATCGTAAGTAAAGCAAATGAGTCACCCAATGCTGGTCAGTTCCTGACCGATGGGGCCTTCTGGAGAGGATGATTTTCGGGAGAGAGCGCTGGAGAAACGCAGGCATTGCTAAGTCGTTTATAAGATGCCCTCTTTTCGAAAACACCCATACAGGACGCCGCTCAAGTCCCATGATTCTACATACTGACTACTATCGTATTTCTCCCCCCCCTAGCCTAAGGCAAATTAATTACCGTGCCAATGCGTTTCCAAAGTCTCTGTACTCGAAGTACCCGAATTTCTTACCAAAAAGCCTACAAAAATCTCGATACAAGTCGCTTCGTAAGAGCTTAGGTAGCCGGCTCTACATCGCCCAGCACAGGTGGCGAGCCCTCTCTGTCGGCTAAGGCCCACGACCGCCGAGCGTACACAAAGCGTGACACTTCCGAAGAAATCACAGGAAATCCAAAACCAAGCGCTGAACCGCGCGCTCGACAAAGTGGTCCACGTGCCCGTCCCCGCCCCAAGTAGAGTAACCAGTCTACTGCTTCGGAAAAACCAAGTATGTATTATGCCATCTACAAAAAAGCGACGGTGTTCAAAATAAGAACCGAAATTTGTCGATGTGTACACATACTTTTCTCACGAAGTACTCTGCTTTCAGGAAGCGCTGAGACTGACGCGTCCATCACATTGTTGCTGTGGAGGTGAGCTCGTTTGATTGATTTTATGGAATTTCGCTGAGTTCTCAGGGTTATTCAGAATTGAGTGATATGTTCGCCGATTCGGATACCTGCATAGTTCAGGCAGAGTCTGGAAACGTGGTGAGTTATGTTCGTCCCCTACACCAAGATCGTGGTTCAACAAATTCACGTACAATTTATTGCGCAACAATGCCGTATCTTCCAGAATTGCGACACTTTAGCGTTCCTTAGCCCAAATTTTTTTCAGATTGGCACCGTGGTTCTACATCGTGGCTGCTTTGTTAGCTACAAGGTCAAGAATGCAGACGACCGGCTCATTGTGAAAATCGATGACGTTGAAGGGGATTGCGACTGCAATGTGCTCAGATATCCGGTAAGTACAATATTTCTGAAGCTACGGATCTACCGGAAAAGGATGGGTATAACACGTTCTGATCTTCGCCGTCCTCTCTCTTTCGTTCAGATGGGTTCAGATGAAGAATTATTCGGGAGGTGTGCTTGAGCTGGAGTGCTCAGCAGTCATATCCGAGTCCTAGTCCGCATTTCATAAACAGGAAAGAATGGCGACTTTCCGGGATGATGGTAATCCGGCTTCAAATGGGAGTTGATGGATAACTATCTCCTCAAGATAACCTCGTGTGAACACATGGTCAGTTCCGACAAAGGTTGCCCAACGGCTTCAAACTAATAAGAAGCCTGTTCACGAAACTTCGAAGAAAAGGGACGATGGCAACTCCACCACGACCTCACGTCAACGAAGCAGTGGAAAATAAGGACTTGGACCAGCCAAATAAGTGCATTTTCTTCGGTTTAAATGAATTTATTCAACACGAAACAGTTTAAAAGCCACAAGTCCTCTGAAATATAACAAAAACAAACGAAGGATTTTTTAGTATTTGGAGCTACAGACTTTCGACTTGATGACAGCCTTCATTCTTCTCGATCTACAAGGCCTCTAGGACGTCCGAAGGGGTTCCATTCTACTCTTCTTAGTGCTCAGGACAGCTCGTTTTATTGTAGTGTGCTTCTTTCTCGTAACTGACACTTCAGCATTTCCCCTAGATGCTCGACAGAGAGGTCTGAGCTTTATCCTGGCCACTTCACTGCCGGAATGAGAGCCGGAGACAGTCCTTAATGCACTCAGATGTATGTTTGGGATCGTTTCATGCTGGAGCTCGTCAAAAAACGTCCAGTTCCGTTCTAGTACCTTTTTCGAACCTGCTCGAGGGCGAATACTCATCAACAGAGACGAGCGCGTGCAGAATCCCAAAACATGAAGCATGCGCTGTTATTTGCTGTTGGCTTGATGAAGCTTTATGAAGAACCTCTTCTGGTGAGTACGAACCTGCTCCTCATCTGCCAAAAAAAGTTGTTCCACTTAGATTCGTCAGGACATAGGATAGGAGGCCCATTGCCGTCCCACCCACTTTCTATGGATTCTGGCCAACTTTAAGCGGGCGGTTCTATTTTTCCTTGAAATCCAGAGCTCCCTCGCTGGTCAGCTTCAGCATCCGCTTGATCAAGAATATCTCGCGCTCGGGACTCTGCATCACAATGTAACGATATTGTACACTGGGGCTGTGTGTACGTCAAACTGTGGCCCATGCGGAGGATACTTGTTATTCTGTCGAACCGAGGAGTCGAGCTTGTCCCAAGTGCTATTCTTCTGATAGGGAAGGTCATCCCATTTTAATGCACGCTTTATTGGAAGTGCTCTTGGCCGGCATGTTGTAGGGTCTACGCAAGGATCACAAGACAAAAATAAGTATTTTCTGCTATAAATAAGTATTTTTTGCTATGGGGCGTGTTAGCTTGAACGGCAAAAAAATGCTGTAGTGTTACAATATTCATATTGACAACTTATCTAATCGAGAACAATCGGCGGTAGGTATACTAGGAGACCTTGAATGGCATATTTCCGGGTATGGAATTCTTTGCCGCTCACAGGGTTGGGCCTCTCAGCCTTAACGGTTCCGCCCAATGCTAAAACCTCACTAGAGGCGTTTCGCGACACTCGTTTGTTCCTGCATTGATCTCACCGGTACAGCTAAATTAAGCAATCCACATATTTAAGCATATATTTAGCCCGACTATCTGCTGTGTGCAATCGTAGAATGTGTCTTTAAGGTAGTAACTGCATCTGGCAAGCGTATCGGTGTCATCGAAATGACATATGGTGGCTGCTTCAGTAGAGGAGATTTTGTTGTGAAATGTGAGTTTGTCATTTTTTAATTAGGGAGTGTAATGGCTTGGACTGGCTACAAAAAGTAGTTAGAGCTGGAAAGAAAACGAATAACTTGGGTATGTAATAGCTAAATAGATGACTCTTCAACCTTTCACTCCAAGAGTGTCCCCCGACTTCTGCCTCGCTACCAAAATTGAAAGTGATTTTTTTCATTTCCAGTTCCGATTGATCTGGATACAAATGCCAAAGCACTGATTCTGGCGGCGGTACTCTTCAAAGTAACTGATTCTTTTTTAATGGTATAAGTGAACCTGATAAAGACGGTTCATTTTCAGAATATTTTCGAGTTCGACGAATAGATCAAGGAACTCACTTTCAGTTTCATGCTTGTGTAACCGATACCTGCAGATTTCCCGCGTTTTGTACTGATAGTTTCATATCCTTGTCAGCATTATTTTGTGAGATTCTCGATTCATCCAACGGATAAACATTTCAATAAATAGTGTAAATATGACATATTTTTTGCTGATTATAGATGAACAGATGTGTATAAAGCCATCAGCAATCTCTTATATATGAACCAGAAGTTGTGTGTATGTATGTCTCTGTGACCACCC